GGTCCGACGACTGCTGCCGGCGGCGGCGAGGGGAGGAGAGGATGGTGGGTGGGCTCCTGCTGGCGGCGGCTAGGGTTTGCTCCCGAGCCGCCCGCGGGAGCGACGCGAGAGCCTCTCCATAACTTCTTCCTTGTTAGAGTTATTTACGATGGTCCAAAATAATTAAACATAAAAATTGGGGCCGTGCGTAGCTGCCACCATGGTTAGGGAATTATTTTTGTTATAACCAGACTGTACATACACTTCGTATGCAATTCACCTCAACTTCTTCTTTCTTTCACATCTTTTCGTAGAAGGTTGCTGCATTTGAATAAACTTCTACTTGTTCTAGGTGTCTGTTCTAACTTCTTACGTCGTTCTATCAGTGCTAGCAGGGTAGTTTGCATCCATGAAGATTACTTAGAAAACATGACACTTTAATTTTTTGTATCTTGCAGCTAGCCTCTGCATCATCGCCTTGTTTCTGATGGCCTCGTTGCTTATGGTTGTTGGAATATCTGTTTAGAGGGCAACAATGGAATCTGTAATCATAACCATGTCACGCTGTATATGGCAATTATAAGGTCCTTTGTGGACATAAGGTAGTGTAGGCTTTCCTTTAGGAGTCTTGTGGATTGTGGTTGATGATAGTGGCTAATCTCTTCTGATGCCTTGTTCCTGTAAATATTTGTAACATGTAATTTGGTTCCTTTTTCTAATAAAATTGGCACTGGTACAGCCAATGATACAAGAGAAAATTATTATATCAAGTGGTGAACAAGTTTCCTCTAGTTTAGGCTGCAATAATTTTTTTTGTGATGATACTGACCATTAGGTGCACTTTTATTGAAGATCAAATGTAATTTTTCTGTTCCTCTATATCTCCATCCTTTTATCTTATTAGTTTTGATAATTTCGTGAACACAACATCAATTAGCTAGGAGTTTCAATTCTTAAGTGTCTATGATCATTTACAAGTTGCATCATGTGATATATGAGGGTGAAAAACCTCGAAGTTGACACATAACATATAATGATGAATTTTTAACTCACAAGAATATCTAGATGCAAGAGTATTCTTTGCTGGCTTCAATGCCCTGGAATTTGCCGAAAATAATTTGGACTTGAATTGCCGTATGAACTGATGAACTTTTTTTCTCATATATATCAAACACATGGTAAAAAAGTTTCCTCTAGTTCATGGTGCTAGATTTTTGTTATTGTTTGTACTGGGAAGCAAGCACACTTTTTACCCAAGCTAACATCCAATCTTATGTTCCTCCATATCTCCACCTTTGTTCTGATTAATTTTGAAGCTTTCATGAACACCAAATATACTAGCTAGGTGTAGCAACTTTAGGTGTCCATCAACAATTATGTCGTTGTGTCATGTGAGAATAAGGGCAAACCTTGCTAGAAGTTGATATAAAACATAATATGATGAAAACTTCAACTCACAAGAATCTAGAGACGAGTATTCATTGTATTCTTTTCCAGTTTCAACGCCTTCGAGTTTGCCAGAAGCAATCCTAGGACAATTAGAAATTATAACCATGAAGTTTGCAGTTGTCAAAATCTATCAAGGTAGTAAGAAAGATGTGGTCATGTAGAACTGGATCTAGGGCTTGGGGCTTACCTTAAATGTCCAAAAATAAAATGCTTGTTGCGCATTGCTGGCTTGAGCACGGGAAATAATTGAGTTGTTTCAAGAGAGCTGTGTTGGGCTTCCAATTTCTTTATAATTACCACACATTATGTAGCGGTGCCAATTAATTTATGTATGTATGCAAAACAAACAAGATGAAAACAGTCAAGAGGGAGGAGGCACACCTATACTCTTATCTTTTCCCCTCCCCCCCCCCCCACCCCCAGGCCGCCCGCGCGGGCGACTCCGGAGGCGAAACCCTAGCACCCG